ATCCACCGCAAAAGGTGTAAATAATTTCACAGAGAAATTCAATTTCTTTTTTTTAATTGTTGTTTTTGTTTTTGTTTTTTCGGTGCCCCAAAAAGTCGGCCACAAAAAGTTGTCCGCAAAAGTGATACAGCCATACCAGGAAAAAAACCCAAATAAATAAATAAGCAAATGCAAAGTGGGACACAGAAGCAACATGTGTCCCAACCGCAGCAACCGCTGAAATGTAATTGCAAATGAGAGAGCAAACAAACAAAAACAAAACAAACAAAAATAAACAAACAACGAATCAACCGCAAGCTGCAGCTAAAAAAAAAAAAAATTTAAATCAAGTTTGGGAAGTGTGGGAAGGGAGTCTCCATTTGGAGCCCACTAGGCAGCTATATACGGAAAGGTGTGCCATCGATCGACCGATAAAAATAAGCCCGGGGGCGTCGATATACGTCCATATACGTCGATATACGATCTACGGTAGATTAGCAAAAGTCACGGAAAAATAGCACACAAATTTGCATGTGACATGCGACACATGAAATTATAAATTGAAGATTTGATGCATGTGATCCAAAGAATGGTCCATGGAATTCAGAAAGTAAATTCAAGAATTACCAAGATTACCAGAAGATATTTATTAGCCGGCGGTGGCGATACAGATACAGATCTACCTACGCTCGATATGGAGGATATGTATCGGATGCTTATCGCTTATCTGTTTGATATTGGCAGCGTTTCTATAGATATCGGTAGTCTATCGAAAATGCCACAAACTTCCGCAATTCAATAAGTGACAACACCAAATCGATAACCAAATGCCGCACAGCAAATGGAGCTGCCGGCAAACAAAGACCACAAACGACCACAGACACCAAACGGAGCCGAAGTTCCGCTGCTGCAACCGCTGCCAGTGCCGGTGCCGTTTCGTGATACAGTGAAACAAAGCTAACATCGACGTGCGACTGTGCAGGGGGGCTGGTGCCCAGCGAGAGGACGACCAGGACGTTCAGCAGGAGGCGAGTTTGAGGAGTGCTTTGGCCCGGGCAGCGGCCGTCATGCAGCTGCAGGCGGCCAGGGCCAAAGCGTCGAAGCCAGGAGGCCAGGAGGCGGCATTGTAGTCAGACAGTTGCATTTATCCCATCCATAGATACGACACTACGACACTCACAGATACAACAAAACGACAACGCACTCACACCACTTCATTCTCACACACACACACACACACACATACTCGTACAGATCAATACATTGACTGTGACGTGGATTCATTCGAGCCGCATATAGAACCAAAGCCAACATGCAGATGATACTTGTTGCTGGCGGGTAAGTGAACAGCCGAAGCGAAGGGTCCCTCAATCCCACACCTCCACAATCCAACCATCCAACAATCCCAAGCCACCATCCCAAGCCACCCACTTTCTCTTAATGTGTGTGCTCCCCCCTATTCCCCCCTATCTATCTTTATGTATTTATGTGTGTGGAATCAGTGCACTGATTCGAATCGTACTAACTGCTGTATGTAAATCTCAACTGTAACTGAAAGTGAACTGTGCCCTAACCCTCCCCAATTTATGTGTATCTGACATGATTTAGCTGTAAGTCTACAGAGCCATCTGAAAAGCTATTCAGATCTACGATCCGTGATCTCCAATCTGCAATGTGCAATCTCTTTTCTCGTGCTTTTTTGTTTCCCTTATTTGCCAATCGCACTCGACGCTCGTAGCCTTTGCTTGGCACTTGTATTTAGCATTTACTATATTAACCTTTCTATTTAGTCGTATATAAATATATATGTATCTATATGTTAGCCTACACTTTAACCATTTGCTAATCTCTTTCTATCTTTTCCCCTCAACTCTCTCTCTTTTGGCAATTATCTCACTGATGACTGATGTGCTTCCGTTTTGTGCTACCATCATTAGGTAAGTGTTATTTAATTTCTATCTACCAATGTCTTTCGAAAGTGCGTAAGTTAATGCCCTGGACCAGAAATACTCGTATGTTTAAGGGGACTTTACAGCTGGGAATATATTGTGTGTAAACATTGTAAACATTGTACGTTGAAGGGATATCAGTGGAGTGAACATTTGCAGCTGCAAATGGAAGACATCTTAGTTAATTTACAGGAGTGCAAAAAATTTATAAACCTTTGACCATCTTCATGCATCTTTTTGAAACATTCTTCGCTTATGAGGCATGAGATAAATTCAAATTAATTTAAATTTAATTTAAATTTAAATAATTAACAAATATAGCGGGTGGCATCCAAATATTTTGCATTCATGTATTTATCTGCATAAGCTGTGCATTGTTTTAATTTTCCCTTGGCATGATGCTACAAGCAGTGCATCGATTAAGCAGTGCGAATCTGATGAAGGCTCGACTGCTTCGTTCGTTCCCTCGTGTAAGCAGTGCATCGACCAAAGCTGTGCACATGTTTGTACATTCTATGTGTCATACTTTATGGTAGCCCCATTTGTTATGCTACCTTGTGAGGTTCCTAATTCAGGCTGGGATATGCATCAGTCTCTCCAGGGTCCGCTACAAGAAAATTTGTAGATTGTAGGAGAACTTCAGGTTTCGGGCTGGCCTTGAAATGCAATAGGCAAGGGAAGAAATGATGATGCGGTAGTTTTTGCTTTTGTGGTACTTGGTTTATTCTTTACTCTTTCTTTCACTTAATTGTTTACGTTTGATTGGTCTGTGATTGACTGTGTGGTGCGCTGGTGGACTGCTTAGTGTGGTGTTTTTGCATTTATGACTGCCTAGTGTAGTGTCTTGTGTTCTTGGCTTCTTGTGTTCGTTCTGAGGTCCTGCCTAGTGCAGTGTCTTGGGTGTGGGCCGATGGACTGCCTGCTCTTTCGGCCGATCTTGGCCCTTTTATGCAGCTGGCGATCGCACCTGAGACCCGGAAATAATTGCTTATTGCTAACTTATGTTTATTGGGTGACAATAATTGTGGGGCGTGGTAAGTGGGTCGAAGCTTGGTGCTTCGTTGACAATTGCTTAGTGGGTCAGTGTGTTTTGATAAGAGTGGTTAGCTGAGGCTGCATCGCAGTAGGTGCGGGCTGCAGTTGGGAATTGGGTTTTTGCTACCTCCGCACCGCAGAAGGTGATATCTGAATTTGGGTCGATGTTTCGATGCCGAGTGGTGGCGAAATATCGCCAAGAAGTGGGTGACCGAGAATTTCGTGCTATTTGTTTCGCTGATTGCGAAATAATGCAGAATGGGTAGAGTTGTTGATCGAGAGTTCTTAATTTTAGTAATTGCGTGCGTTGCTTAAGACTATTTTATTTTCCGGATGTGCTGACGCACCGCTATTTGTGGAGAATCGTGGCCAGAGCCATGGTTCGTTAGCTCTGTGTATATCAGTATCAGTTTTATAGCATTCAGAACTCCAATTGATATATTCCGTTGAAGGATATTCACCTGCTGTGAGTATGCGCGACAGCGTGACCGATGTGCTATTGTCCACGATATCGACATCGTTGACGGAGAACATCCACTTGAAGGTGAGCTTCTCGGTGGCCCCAAAGTCGTGCGACTGCTTGGGGGCCACGGACACGCAGATGACCTTGTCGTTGAGCAGCAGCAGCCGTCGCTGCTTGCACTTGACCATGAGGCCGGCCTGGTTGAACTCCATGTGGGTGACGCAGAAGGTAGCGCGGACGGGGCCCACCGTGGCCATGGGTGACGCTGCTGAGGGCGCGCGTATTGAAGGTGCCGGAGATGTGGCTGAGCATCTCCTTGAACGCCTGATACTGCTCCGCCTCACGCTTGCTCTCGTTCAGCAGCTCGGCGAGCAGCTCCAGCTGGGACAGGGCCAGCTGCAGGGACATGCGATCCTGATGGCCCTGCGGCGTTTACTTGAGCAGATCCTGCAGGAACAGTATAAACTGGGGAAAACGCTGCACCGGCTTCAACATCAGCCCAAAGAACGACAGACGATCGTGGCCGCTGATCTGCTTCACCTTGAAGAAGTCGGCCAATGCCGAATTGCGCTTCTCCTCCATCTTGGCCAGCTCCATGGCCGCCGAGAAGTTGTTGTTGAAGCCCGAGTAGATCTCCAGCAGCTGCGGCTTGCCAAAGGTGCTCACAAAACAATCGCCGATCTTCTCGTCCCTGCCCCAATTGCGTACGCACTCAGCCAGTGAGATGCGGAACAGCTTGTGCGAGTGCAAAATGTCCGGCAGGCAATGGAACAAAGTGGCGATCTTCACTGGATTCAGAACGGGTGGATTGCACTCCTCCAAGGGTTTCTTGTAATCCTAAGCAGCCCACAGCGAAAGAGAGAGTAAAATATTATTAGTTGTGGCTGGATCTGTGGGCACCCTATTTGATGTTCGATATTCGATAATCGAATTTCGTGTTTGTTTTTTTTTTTTTTGATTTTGTTGTGTGGTTTTCGGGTTTGTTGTCTTTTGTTTTGGTTCTAATTTTGCAACTACTTTTTGGGTGTGGGTGTGTGGATCGTATCGTATCAATGTGGTGCATTTTTTTTGTTTTTTTTTTTTTTTTGTGTGTGTATTGGTTAGTGGTTTAGTGTAGTGTCAGTATAGATACAGTTTTCATTTATTGAAATTAGTTATGATGATTCGTTTAGTGGCGAAGATTCATGGCGTGGGAAATCAGGATGGATGGCATGTAAAGAGATCAAATGATTTGGCATGAGATTAATGGTTACATTACAGGTGCTACAGATGTTACGATAGATAGATACGATAGTTGGGGGGTTGGCTACTACGAGTAATACCACGGGTGTCATGCATTTCATGGGTCCGCGCGATTAGCGGTGGGCAAAAGGGCCTTTAGTATTCTTTTTTTTTTATTCTCGGGCATTCTCTTTGACAGCACTCACTTGTGCGTCTCGAGTCCAAGCATCAGTATGCGCCGCGTCATGGGTTAGTACCTGCCCGCCGCTGCCTTATTGTATCCCTAGGGTCTGAATGATTCGGGTTCCTGTTCAGCACTCGATTTACACGTCAGTTGACACACCGCACAAGTCAGATCTAGTCAGAATCAGTCCCCTAATCCCCAAAAATCCCCAATACACTACAAGTACCACAATTGCTGTGTGGTTTTTTCTGTAATTTGCAATCCATGCAATCATGGCTGATCGGTTGAAGGACCAAGCGGCCAGTCAACAGCCAGACGATGAGCCCACAGAGGAGCAACTGATCGCCGATGCCTATGCCAATGTCAAGGTACTGGTGGAGGCTGGCGATCAGACGGGCTATCTGCAGATACAGCCAACGGAGGTGCACAGGTTCATGCTGGCCAGCTACGACGATGTGCTGGTCGAGAAGTACACCGAGGCGAAACCGCAGGAGCTCAGCAAGTGGGAAACGGCCACTGCCTTGGCACCGCTGCTCAATCGCATTGAGCCGCAGGACGAGCAGCAGTTGGGCAAAATCCAACTAGATCCGGTCACGGGCAAGCGCTACATGTTGGTGCCCATCGAAGTCAATGTTCTTGTCGATGGCGAGAAGTTTTGCAACATATTTGAATATTTGCAGGCACGGCAGAAGAAGCACGGGAAGGCGTTGCAGGTGAAGAAGGAGGCGCTTGTGGATATGGCCATTGAAGCCACAGCACAGAAAACAGTCAGGCAGCTGGTGGATCAGGAGAACACTCCAAAGGAAGAGACTCCGAAGAAAGCACAGAAGAGCCCCAAGAAGGCGTCTCAGAGGATGAGCCTCAAGGAGCGGCTTGCAAGGAGGAGCCAGAAGAAGCAGCTTCAAGGGGAGCAGACTCCACAGGAAGAACCACAAGGGCAGACTTCAAAGGAGTCCCAGCGCCTGGTCGGCTACAAGGCGGTGGTCGTTGTGCCCCCCATAATATTCTCCTTCAAAGCGGGCCTCGGCCAAGAGGCACAGCAGCATGCGACGGAGCCAGCAGCTTCTTCCAATCAACAGGAACAGAAGAACACTCCAAAGGAAGAGACTCAGAAGAAAGCACAGAAGAGCCCCAAGAAGGCGTCTCAGAGGATGAGCCTCAAGGAGCGGCCTACTAGGCGGAGCCAGAAGAAGCAGCTTCAAGGGGAGCAGACTCCACAGGAAGAACCACAAGGGCAGACTTCAAAGGAGTCCCAGCGCCTGGTCGACTACAAGGCGGAGGTCGTTGTGCCCCCCATAATTTCTCCGTCGAAGCGGGCCTCGGCCAAGAGGCACAGCAGCATGCGACGGAGCCAGCAGCTTCTTCCAATCAACAGGAAGAAGAGAAGCAAGTCTAGTCGCAGCTCTCACTCTCACTCACTTCGGACTCAAAGCAGAAGCCAGAGGAGAGCAGAATGGCCTAGAGACCGGCCGGGCAGCAGAGCAGAATGGATTACGGCTCTAAGCCATTCTGTTGTCCCCTGATTTTCGACTACAAATTACAGAGTTTACATTTGCTGGATCGTCGTTGTTGATCTTTGAATAAATTCAGCATTCTGTTGATTGTTATACGAGTATTTGGCTGTAGCTTTCTGCCCCTGGATGCCCCCCCCTGGATGCCACCTGGAGTACTCACATTGACTAGCGCCGGAGGGTAGCCACATACGAGTTCTCGCTGTGCACGATGGCTGCCACAATGTTTCGCCGCTTGAGCTGCTGCTGCGAGAGTCCGGCCGGTGCCGGTGGCAGCATCGGTACAATCAAACGTCCATGGGCCGTGCGGGCATTGCCGCCCCCATTGGCTGCTGCTGCACGACTGTCACCCGGTGTCAGCATCATGTCCATGTCGAAGCGATTGCTGGCCACCGCCGCTGCTGATCGTCATCTTCATTCTGCAAGCAAGAAGAAGGCAAATGGCAATGGAATCCTTTTAGTTTCGCTCTCTCTCTCTTGGGGGAAGTACTTACCTCTGGTACTCCGGGCATCATCTTGCTGGCACCCAATGTGGCCAGCTTACCAGGCGAGCTGCTGTCCAGCGCTGTATCGTATCGTATCAATGTGGTGCATTTTTTTTGTTTTTTTTTTTTTGTTTGTTTGTGTATTGGTTAGTGGTTTAGTGTAGTGTCAGTATAGATACAGTTTTCATTTATTGAAATTAGTTATGATGATTCGTTTAGTGGCGAAGATTCATGGCATGGGAAATCAGGATGGATGGCATGTAAAGAGATCAAATGATTTGGCATGAGATTAATGGTTACATTACAGGTGCTACAGATGTTACGATAGATAGATACGATAGTTGGGGGGTTGGCTACTACGAGTAATACCACGGGTGTCATGCATTTCATGGGTCCGCGCGATTAGCGGTGGGCAAAAGGGCCTTTAGTATTCTTTTTTTTTATTCTCGGGCATTCTCTTTGACAGCACTCACTTGTGCGTCTCGAGTCCAAGCATCAGTATGCGCCGCGTCATGGGTTAGTACCTGCCCGCCGCTGCCTTATTGTATCCCTAGGGTCTGAATGATTCGGGTTCCTGTTCAGCACTCGATTTACACGTCAGTTGACACACCGCACAAGTCAGATCTAGTCAGAATCAGTCCCCTAATTCCCAAAAATCCCCAATACACTACAAGTACCACAATTGCTGTGTGGTTTTTTCTGTAATTTGCAATCCATGCAATCATGGCTGATCGGTTGAAGGACCAAGCGGCCAGTCAACAGCCAGACGATGAGCCCACAGAGGAGCAACTGATCGCCGATGCCTATGCCAATGTCAAGGTACTGGTGGAGGCTGGCGATCAGGCGGGCTATCTGCAGATACAGCCAACGGAGGTGCACAGGTTCATGCTGGCCAGCTACGACGATGTGCTGGTCGAGAAGTACACCGAGGCGAAACCGCAGGAGCTCAGCAAGTGGGAAACGGCCACTGCCTTGGCACCGCTGCTCAATCGCATTGAGCCGCAGGACGAGCAGCAGTTGGGCAAAATCCAACTAGATCCGGTCACGGGCAAGCGCTACATGTTGGTGCCCATCGAAGTCAATGTTCTTGTCGATGGCGAGAAGTTTTGCAACATATTTGAATATTTGCAGGCACGGCAGAAGAAGCACGAGAAGGCGTTGCAGGTGAAGAAGGAGGCGCTTGTGGATATGGCCATTGAAGCCACAGCACAGAAAACAGTCAGGCAGCTGGTGGATCAGGAGAACACTCCAAAGGAAGAGACTCCGAAGAAAGCACAGAAGAGCCCCAAGAAGGCGTCTCAGAGGATGAGCCTCAAGGAGCGGCTTGCAAGGAGGAGCCAGAAGAAGCAGCTTCAAGGGAGCAGACTCCACAGGAAGAACCACAAGGGCAGACTTCAAAGGAGTCCCAGCGCCTGGTCGGCTACAAGGCGGTGGTCGTTGTGCCCCCCATAATATTCTCCTTCAAAGCGGGCCTCGGCCAAGAGGCACAGCAGCATGCGACGGAGCCAGCAGCTTCTTCCAATCAACAGGAACAGAAGAACACTCCAAAGGAAGAGACTCAGAAGAAAGCACAGAAGAGCCCCAAGAAGGCGTCTCAGAGGATGAGCCTCAAGGAGCGGCCTACAAGGCGGAGCCAGAAGAAGCAGCTTCAAGGGGAGCAGACTCCACAGGAAGAACCACAAGGGCAGACTTCAAAGGAGTCCCAGCGCCTGGTCGACTACAAGGCGGAGGTCGTTGTGCCCCCCATAATATTCTCCGTCAAAGCGGGCCTCGGCCAAGAGGCACAGCAGCATGCGACGGAGCCAGCAGCTTCTTCCAATCAACAGGAAGAAGAGAAGCAAGTCTAGTCGCAGCTCTCACTCTCACTCACTTCGGACTCAAAGCAGAAGCCAGAGGAGAGCAGAATGGCCTAGAGAACCGCCGGGCAGCAGAGCAGAATGGATTACGGCTCTAAGCCATTCTGTTGTCCCCTGATTTTCGACTACAAATTACAGAGTTTACATTTGCTGGATCGTCGTTGTTGATCTTTGAATAAATTCAGCATTCTGTTGATTGTTATACGAGTATTTGGCTGTAGCTTTCTGCCCCTGGATGCCCCCCCTGGATGCCACCTGGAGTACTCACATTGACTAGACGCCGGAGGGTAGCCACATACGAGTTCTCGCTGTGCACGATGGCTGCCACAATGTTTCGCCGCTTGAGCTGCTGCTGCGAGAGTCCGGCCGGTGCCGGTGGCAGCATCGGTACAATCAAACGTCCATGGGCCGTGCGGGCATTGCCGCCCCCATTGGCTGCTGCTGCACGACTGTCACCCGGTGTCAGCATCATGTCCATGTCGAAGCGATTGCTGGCCACCGCCGCTGCTGATCGTCATCTTCATTCTGCAAGCAAGAAGAAGGCAAATGGCAATGGAATCCTTTTAGTTTCGCTCTCTCTCTCTTGGGGGAAGTACTTACCTCTGGTACTCCGGGCATCATCTTGCTGGCACCCAATGTGGCCAGCTTACCGGGCGAGCTGCTGTCCAGCGCTGTTCCTGCCACTATTTTGGGTGATCCCCCGCCAGCGGCGGCGCTGCCAGCCGCCGTGGCCGTTGCTGCCGCATCGGGCGTATCGAAGCTGGCCGCCGTCGACTGGTGGAAATCGTACTGGTGCGTGGAGCCGCGATGGCAATGGAACAAAGTGGCGATCTTCACTGGATTCAGAACGGGTGGCTTGCACTCCTCCAAGGGTTTCTTGTAATCCTAAGCAGTCCACAGCGAAAGAGAGAGTAAAATATTATTAGTTGTGGCTGGATCTGTGGGCACCCTATTTGATGTTCGATATTCGATAATCGAATTTCGTGTTTGTTTTTTTTTTTTATACCCGTACTCAAAAAAGAGTTAAGGGGTATATTAGATTTGTGGTAAAAGTGGATGTGTGTAACGCAGAGAAGGAAACGTTTCCGACCCCATAAAGTATATATATTCTTGATCAGCATCAATAGCCGAGTCGATAGAGCCATGTCTGTCTGTCCGTCTGTCCGTCTGTCCGTCTTGTTTGACGCCTGGATCTCAGAGACCATAAGAGCTAGGGCAACCAAATTTGGTTTCCAGACTCATGTGATATCACACTGCTACAAGTGTATTTCAAAATTTCGCCCCGCCCCCTTCCGCCCCCACAAAGGACGAAAATCTGTGGCAGCCACAATTTTAAAGATACGATAAAACTAAAAACGCAGTATAGTAGAGAATGCCCATATCTACCAGACTGCCGAATCTGAATCAGATCGGATCATAATTATAGCCAGAATGACGAAATTCATTTTCAGTTGCTTCTTTTTCTAAAATTCTAAAAAATCATAAGCTCAAAAATTTATATACTGACTGAGTACGGGTATAAGTAGAGTCGTGTCCGCAGAAACGACTCACACGTTCCTTCTCGTTTTTCTTTGATTTTGTTGTGTGGTTTTCGGGTTTGTTGTCTTTTGTTTTGGTTCTAATTTTGCAACTACTTTTTGGGTGTGGGTGTGTGGATCGTATCGTATCAATGTGGTGCATTTTTTTTGTTTTTTTTATACCCGTACTCAAAAAAGAGTTAAGGGGTATATTAGATTTGTGGTAAAAGTGGATGTGTGTAACGCAGAGAAGGAAAATTTTCCGACCCCATAAAGTATATATATTCTTGATCAGCATCAATAGCCGAGTCGATATAGCCATGTCTGTCTGTCCGTCCGTCCGTCCGTCCGTCTGTCCGTCTTGTTGAGCGCCTGGATCTCAGAGACTATTAGAGTTAGGGTAACCAAATTTGGTTTCCAGACTCATGTGATATCACACTGCTACAAGTGTATTTCAAAATTTCGCCCCGCCTCCTTCCGCCCCCACAAAGGACGAAAATCTGTGGCAGCCACAGTTTTAAAGATACGATAAAACTAAAAACGCAGTATCGTAGAGAATGACCATATCTATCAGATTGCCGAATCTGAATCAGATCGGATCATAATTATAGCCAGAATGAAGGAATTAATTTTCAGTTGCTTCTCCTGCCCCCCCCCACCGGCAAACAACAACGCAACTGATTTTCCTTCTCGCTCGCACACTCTGCCGCGTTCAGTGCGCGAGCAACCCCAAGCGGAGGAGATGTAGAATCTAATTGGAACATGTACAATCTACATGTTAGATGTATAATATACGTTGTATATGTAGATGTAGATATCATATGTAGCAAAAAAATGTAAAATGTACAAATTTTTTTTTTTCTAAAATTCTTAAAAATCATGCTCAAAAATGTATATACTGACTGAGTACGGGTATAAGTAGAGTCGCGTCCCCAGAAGCGACTCACACGTTCCTTCTCGTTTTTTTTTGTTTGTGTGTGTATTGGTTAGTCGTTTAGTGTAGTGTCAGTATAGATACAGTTTTCATTTATTGAAATTAGTTATGATGATTCGTTTAGTGGCGAAGATTCATGGCATGGGAAATCAGGATGGATGGCATGTAAAGAGATCAAATGATTTGGCATGAGATTAATGGTTACATTACAGGTGCTACAGATGTTACGATAGATAGATACGATAGTTGGGGGGTTGGCTACTACGAGTAATACTACGGGTGTCATGCATTTCATGGGTCCGCGCGATTAGCGGTGGGCAAGGGGGCCTTCGGTATTCTTTTATACCACAATTGATGTGTGGTTTTTTCTGTAATTTGCAATCCATGCAATCATGGCTGATCGGTTGAAGGACCAAGCGGCCAGTCAACAGCCAGACGATGAGCCCACAGAGGAGCAACTGATCGCCGATGCCTATGCCAATGTCAAGGTACTGGTGGAGGCTGGCGATCAGACGGGCTATCTGCAGATACAGCCAACGGAGGTGCACAGGTTCATGCTGGCCAGCTACGACGATGTGCTGGTCGAGAAGTACACCGAGGCGAAACCGCAGGAGCTCAGCAAGTGGGAAACGGCCACTGCCTTGGCACCGCTGCTCAATCGCATTGAGCCGCAGGACGAGCAGCAGTTGGGCAAAATCCAACTAGATCCGGTCACGGGCAAGCGCTACATGTTGGTGCCCATCGAAGTCAATGTTCTTGTCGATGGCGAGAAGTTTTGCAACATATTTGAATATTTGCAGGCACGGCAGAAGAAGCACGAGAAGGCGTTGCAGGTGAAGAAGGAGGCGCTTGTGGATATGGCCATTGAAGCCACAGCACAGAAAACAGTCAGGCAGCTGGTGGATCAGGAGAACACTCCAAAGGAAGAGACTCCGAAGAAAGCACAGAAGAGCCCCAAGAAGGCGTCTCAGAGGATGAGCCTCAAGGAGCGGCTTGCAAGGAGGAGCCAGAAGAAGCAGCTTCAAGGGGAGCAGACTCCACAGGAAGAACCACAAGGGCAGACTTCAAAGGAGTCCCAGCGCCTGGTCGACTACAAGGCGGAGGTCGTTGTGCCCCCCATAATATTCTCCGTCGAAGCGGGCCTCGGCCAAGAGGCACAGCAGCATGCGACGGAGCCAGCAGCTTCTTCCAATCAACAGGAAGAAGAGAAGCAAGTCTAGTCGCAGCTCTCACTCTCACTCACTTCGGACTCAAAGCAGAAGCCAGAGGAGAGCAGAATGGCCTAGAGAACCGCCGGGCAGCAGAGCAGAATGGATTACGGCTCTAAGCCATTCTGTTGTCCCCTGATTTTCGACTACAAATTACAGAGTTTACATTTGCTGGATCGTCGTTGTTGATCTTTGAATAAATTCAGCATTCTGTTGATTGTTATACGAGTATTTGGCTGTAGCTTTCTGCCCCTGGATGCCCCCCTGGATGCCACCTGGAGTACTCACATTGACTAAGACGCTGGAGGGTAGCCACATACGAGTTCTCGCTGTGCACGATGGCTGCCACAATGTTTCGCCGCTTGAGCTGCTGCTGCGAAGTCCGGCCGGTGCCGATGGCAGCATCGGTACAATCAAACGTCCATGGGCCGTGCGGCATTGCCGCCCCCATTGGCTGCTGCTGCACGACTGTCACCCGGTGTCAGCATCATGTCCATGTCGAAGCGATTGCTGGCCACCGCCGCTGCTGATCGTCATCTTCATTCTGCAAGCAAGAAGAAGGCAAATGGCAATGGAATCCTTTTAGTTTCGCTCTCTCTCTTGGGGGAAGTACTTACCTCTGGTACTCCCGGCATCATCTTGCTGGCACCCAATGTGGCCAGCTTACCAGGCGAGCTGCTGTCCAGCGCTGTATCGTATCGTATCAATGTGGTGCATTTTTTTTGTTTTTTTTTTTTTTGTTTGTTTGTGTATTGGTTAGTGGTTTAGTGTAGTGTCAGTATAGATACAGTTTTCATTTATTGAAATTAGTTATGATGATTCGTTTAGTGGCGAAGATTCATGGCATGGGAAATCAGGATGGATGGCATGTAAAGAGATCAAATGATTTGGCATGAGATTAATGGTTACATTACAGGTGCTACAGATGTTACGATAGATAGATACGATAGTTGGGGGGTTGGCTACTACGAGTAATACCACGGGTGTCATGCATTTCATGGGTCCGCGCGATTAGCGGTGGGCAAAAGGGCCTTTAGTATTCTTTTTTTTTATTCTCGGGCATTCTCTTTGACAGCACTCACTTGTGCGTCTCGAGTCCAAGCATCAGTATGCGCCGCGTCATGGGTTAGTACCTGCCCGCCGCTGCCTTATTGTATCCCTAGGGTCTGAATGATTCGGGTTCCTGTTCAGCACTCGATTTACACGTCAGTTGACACACCGCACAAGTCAGATCTAGTCAGAATCAGTCCCCTAATTCCCAAAAATCCCCAATACACTACAAGTACCACAATTGCTGTGTGGTTTTTTCTGTAATTTGCAATCCATGCAATCATGGCTGATCGGTTGAAGGACCAAGCGGCCAGTCAACAGCCAGACGATGAGCCCACAGAGGAGCAACTGATCGCCGATGCCTATGCCAATGTCAAGGTACTGGTGGAGGCTGGCGATCAGGCGGGCTATCTGCAGATACAGCCAACGGAGGTGCACAGGTTCATGCTGGCCAGCTACGACGATGTGCTGGTCGAGAAGTACACCGAGGCGAAACCGCAGGAGCTCAGCAAGTGGGAAACGGCCACTGCCTTGGCACCGCTGTCAATCGCATTGAGCCGCAGGACGAGCAGCAGTTGGGCAAAATCCAACTAGATCCGGTCACGGGCAAGCGCTACATGTTGGTGCCCATCGAAGTCAATGTTCTTGTCGATGGCGAGAAGTTTTGCAACATATTTGAATATTTGCAGGCACGGCAGAAGAAGCACGAGAAGGCGTTGCAGGTGAAGAAGGAGGCGCTTGTGGATATGGCCATTGAAGCCACAGCACAGAAAACAGTCAGGCAGCTGGTGGATCAGGAGAACACTCCAAAGGAAGAGACTCCGAAGAAAGCACAGAAGAGCCCCAAGAAGGCGTCTCAGAGGATGAGCCTCAAGGAGCGGCTTGCAAGGAGGAGCCAGAAGAAGCAGCTTCAAGGGGAGCAGACTCCACAGGAAGAACCACAAGGGCAGACTTCAAAGGAGTCCCAGCGCCTGGTCGGCTACAAGGCGGTGGTCGTTGTGCCCCCCATAATATTCTCCTTCAAAGCGGGCCTCGGCCAAGAGGCACAGCAGCATGCGACGGAGCCAGCAGCTTCTTCCAATCAACAGGAACAGAAGAACACTCCAAAGGAAGAGACTCAGAAGAAAGCACAGAAGAGCCCCAAGAAGGCGTCTCAGAGGATGAGCCTCAAGGAGCGGCCTACAAGGCGGAGCCAGAAGAAGCAGCTTCAAGGGGAGCAGACTCCACAGGAAGAACCACAAGGGCAGACTTCAAAGGAGTCCCAGCGCCTGGTCGACTACAAGGCGGAGGTCGTTGTGCCCCCCATAATATTCTCCGTCAAAGCGGGCCTCGGCCAAGAGGCACAGCAGCATGCGACGGAGCCAGCAGCTTCTTCCAATCAACAGGAAGAAGAGAAGCAAGTCTAGTCGCAGCTCTCACTCTCACTCACTTCGGACTCAAAGCAGAAGCCAGAGGAGAGCAGAATGGCCTAGAGAACCGCCGGGCAGCAGAGCAGAATGGATTACGGCTCTAAGCCATTCTGTTGTCCCCTGAATTTCGACTACAAATTACAGAGTTTACATTTGCTGGATCGTCGTTGTTGATCTTTGAATAAATTCAGCATTCTGTTGATTGTTATACGAGTATTTGGCTGTAGCTTTCTGCCCCTGGATGCCCCCCCTGGATGCCACCTGGAGTACTCACATTGACTAGACGCCGGAGGGTAGCCACATACGAGTTCTCGCTGTGCACGATGGCTGCCACAATGTTTCGCCGCTTGAGCTGCTGTTGCGAGAGTCCGGCCGGTGCCGGTGGCAGCATCGGTACAATCAAACGTCCATGGGCCGTGCGGGCATTGCCGCCCCCATTGGCTGCTGCTGCACGACTGTCACCCGGTGTCAGCATCATGTCCATGTCGAAGCGATTGCTGGCCACCGCCGCTGCTGATCGTCATCTTCATTCTGCAAGCAAGAAGAAGGCAAATGGCAATGGAATCCTTTTAGTTTCGCTCTCTCTCTTTGGGGGAAGTACTTACCTCTGGTACTCCGGGCATCATCTTGCTGGCACCCAATGTGGCCAGCTTACCGGGCGAGCTGCTGTCCAGCGCTGTTCCTGCCACTATTTTGGGTGATCCCCCGCCAGCGGCGGCGCTGCCAGCCGCCGTGGCCGTTGCTGCCGCATCGGGCGTATCGAAGCTGGCCGCCGTCGACTGGTGGAAATCGTACTGGTGCGTGGAGCCGCGATGGCAATGGAACAAAGTGGCGATCTTCACTGGATTCAGAACGGGTGGCTTGCACTCCTCCAAGGGTTTCTTGTAATCCTAAGCAGTCCACAGCGAAAGAGAGAGTAAAATATTATTAGTTGTGGCTGGATCTGTGGGCACCCTATTTGATGTTCGATGTTCGATATTCGATAATCGAATTTCGTGTTTGTTTTTATACCCGTACTCAAAAAAGAGTTAAGGGGTATATTAGATTTGTGGTAAAAGTGGATGTGTGTAACGCAGAGAAGGAAAATTTTCCGACCCCATAAAGTATATATATTCTTGATTAGCATCAATAGCCGAGTCGATATAGCCATGTCTGTCTGTCCGTCCGTCCGTCCGTCCGTCTGTCCGTCTTGTTGAGCGCCTGGATCTCAGAGACTATAAGAGTTAGGGTAACCAAATTTGGTTTCCAGACTCATGTGATATCACACTGCTACAAGTGTATTTCAAAATTTCGCCCCGCCTCCTTCCGCCCCCACAAAGGACGAAAATCTGTGGCAGCCACAGTTTTAAAGATACGATAAAACTAAAAACGCAGTATCGTAGAGAATGACCATATCTATCAGATTGCCGAATCTGAATCAGATCGGATCATAATTATAGCCAGAATGAAGGAATTAATTTTCAGTTGCTTCTCCTGCCCCCCCCCCACCGGCAAACAACAACGCAACTGATTTTCCTTCTCGCTCGCACACTCTGCCGCGTTCAGTGCGCGAGCAACCCAAGCGGAGGAGATGATGAAATCTAATTGGAACATGTACAATCTACATGTTAGATGTATAATATACGTTGTATATGTAGATGTAGATATCATATGTAGCAAAAAAATGTAAAATGTACAAATTTTTTTTTTTCTAAAATTCTTAAAAATCATGCTCAAAAATGTATATACTGACTGAGTACGGGTATAAGTAGAGTCGCGTCCCCAGAAGCGACTCAAACGTTCCTTCTCGTTTTTTTTTGTTTGTGTGTGTATTGGTTAGTCGTTTAGTGTAGTGTCAGTATAGATACAGTTTTCATTTATTGAAATTAGTTATGATGATTCGTTTAGTGGCGAAGATTCATGGCATGGGAAATCAGGATGGATGGCATGTAAAGAGATCAAATGATTTGGCATGAGATTAATGGTTACATTACAGGTGCTACAGATGTTACGATAGATAGATACGATAGTTGGGGGGTTGGCTACTACGAGTAATACTACGGGTGTCATGCATTTCATGGGTCCGCGCGATTAGCGGTGGGCAAGGGGGCCTTTGGTATTCTTTTTTTTATTCTCGGGCACTCACTTGTGCGTCTCGAGTCCAAGCATCAGTATGCGCCGCGTCATGGGTTAGTACCTGCCCGCCGCTGCCTTATTGTATCCCTAGGGTCTGAATGATTCGGGTTCCTGTTCAGCACTCGATTTACACGTCAGTTGACACACCGCACAAGTCAGATCTAGTCAGAATCAGTCCCCCTAATCCCCAATACACTACAAGTACCACAATTGCTGTGTGGTTTTTTCTGTAATTTGCAATCCATGCAATCATGGCTGATCGGTTGAAGGACCAAGCGGTCAGTCAACAGCCAGACGATGAGCCCACAGAGGAGCAACTGATCGCCGATGCCTATGCCAATGTCAAGGTACTGGTGGAGGCTGGCGATCAGACGGGCTATCTGCAGATACAGCCAACGGAGGTGCACAGGTTCATGCTGGCCAGCTACGACGATGTGCTGGTCGAGAAAGTACACCGAGGCGAAACCGCAGGAGCTCAGCAAGTGGGAAACGGCCACTGCCTTGGCACCGCTGCTCAATCGCATTGAGCCGCAGGACGAGCAGCAGTTGGGCAAAATCCAACTAGATCCGGTCACGGGCAAGCGCTACATGTTGGTGCCCATCGAAGTCAATGTTCTTGTCGATGGCGAGAAGTTTTGCAACATATTTGAATATTTGCAGGCACGGCAGAAGAAGCACGAGAAGGCGTTGCAGGTGAAGAAGGAGGCGCTTGTGGATATGGCCATTGAAGCCACAGCACAGAAAACAGTCAGGCAGCTGGTGGATCAGGAGAACACTCCAAAGGAAGAGACTCCGAAGAAAGCACAGAAGAGCCCCAAGAAGGCGTCTCAGAGGATGAGCCTCAAGGAGCGGCTTGCAAGGAGGAGCCAGAAGAAGCAGCTTCAAGGGGAGCAGACTCCACAGGAAGAACCACAAGGGCAGACTTCAAAGGAGTCCCAGCGCCTGGTCGGCTACAAGGCGGTGGTCGTTGTGCCCCCCATAATATTCTCCTTCAAAGCGGGCCTCGCCAAGAGGCACAGCAGCATGCGACGGAGCCAGCAGCTTCTTCCAATCAACAGGAACAGAAGAACACTCCAAAGGAAGAGACTCAGAAGAAAGCACAGAAGAGCCCCAAGAAGGCGTCTCAGAGGATGAGCCTCAAGGAGCGGCCTACAAGGCGGAGCCAGAAGAAGCAGCTTCAAGGGGAGCAGACTCCACAGGAAGAACCACAAGGGCAGACTTCAAAGGAGTCCCAGCGCCTGGTCAACTACAAGGCGGAGGTCGTTGTGCCCCCCATAATATTCTCCGTCAAAGCGGGCCTCGGCCAAGAGGCACAGCAGCATGCGACGGAGCCAGCAGCTTCTTCCAATCAACAGGAAGAAGAGAAGCAAGTCTCAGCTCTCACTCTCACTCACTTCGGACTCAAAGCAGAAGCCAGAGGAGAGCAGAATGGCCTAGAGAACCGCCGGGCAGCAGAGCAGAATGGATTACGGCTCTAAGCCATTCTGTTGTCCCCTGATTTTCGACTACAAATTACAGAGTTTACATTTGCTGGATCGTCGTTGTTGATCTTTGAATAAATTCAGCATTCTGTTGATTGTTATACGAGTATTTGGCTGTAGCTTTCTGCCCCTGGATGCCACCTGGAGTACTCACATTGACTAGACGCCGGAGGGTAGCCACATACGAGTTCTCGCTGTGCACGATGGCTGCCACAATGTTTCGCCGCTTGAGCTGCTGCTGCGAGAGTCCGGCCGGTGCCGGTGGCAGCATCGGTACAATCAAACGTCCATGGGCCGTGCGGGCATTGCCGCCCCCATTGGCTGCTGCTGCACGACTGTCACCCGGTGTCAGCATCATGTCCATGTCGAAGCGATTGCTGGCCACCGCCGCTGCTGATCGTCATCTCATTCTGCAAGCAAGAAGAAGGCAAATGGCAATGGAATCCTTTTAGTTTCGCTCTCTCTCTCTTGGGGGAAGTACTTACCTCTGGTACTCCGGGCATCATCTTGCTGGCACCCAATGTGGCCAGCTTACCGGGCGAGCTGCTGTCCAGCGCTGTTCCTGCCACTATTTTGGGTGATCCCCCGCCAGCGGCGGCGCTGCCAGCCGCCGTGGCCGTTGCTGCCGCATCGGGCGTATCGAAGCTGGCCGCCGTCGACTGGTGGACATCGTACTGGTGCGTGGAGCCGCTACGTATCGAGAACCAACGCGAGAGACGGCCGTCTGGGGACTCGCCGGGAGTCGTGAGATCCTCGCGCTGCGACGATGACCCGCCACCAGTGGCGGGCATTGTGCAGGCGCTGGCCCTGCGCATAATCATGTTGCTGCTGATGCTGTCCGCTGCTGGGGTTCGTCCCGATGCCGAGCTATTCGATGTGCCGGCTGTTACAGTGCCTGAACCGGTACCGGAAGCGGATGCGGAATCGAGTCCTGTGCCGGTGCCGGCTGTGCGCCATTTGTCAAAGGACAAATGCTGCTTGGCCTTGTTGAAGGTGGAACGCAATTGCGAATTGCGTTGGTTGTTGGCGCTTAGGGAACTCACGCTGCTGCTGGTCTGCTCCTCTTCGGTTAATACCTCCTCGTCGGAGTGGCTCGCAGTGGGCGCTTCCCTCTCCGACTCCCTTTCACGACACGGCGACTTGTTGTCGCGCTCGCTGCTGCTGCTGTTGCAGGCGCCGCTGCCTACGACTGCACCAACGCCAACGCCGTTGTAATTGTAATTGGTTCTAGCCATAGCTGGAACCATGGTTCGTTACAATCTGTAGCACATCCTGCTATAGTTCCCTCGCTGGCAGAGTTCTTGCTTAAATTAATTTATACATATGAAAATGAAATGAAAACAATTTGTGCACTGGAAAAGCATTAAATTGCATTCCAAAGACTGAGCGTAGTTCTTCAAAATATTGAAATTTGTCGCTACCATTGGCCATTGCAAGATCAGGGTTTTCCAATAACAGCAAAATGTTAATATCTCCTATTAAAGGGTTATGCAAAGCTTCCCAAAAGGGTAGCCAGCCAAG